ATGAGAAGTTGAAGACTTAATTATATCGTAATTGATCTGCACTTCGGCACTTACTGAACGACTTGATGACTCGATAATTTGCTGGGAAAGGGAAGAGGTAATTGTTTTAACTTTATCTTGAACACCAAAAGAGAATTTAAAGATGAGCATTAAAAGGCTCTCTGCCAGCTGTGTACTCCTGCCAGCCAAGAGTAAGGTGGACACTGGGAAGAACCAGCAAGTGGGGTGATAAACAGCAGGAAATATGTCGGCCAACACGAAAGAGGACCAGGAAGTGGAAGAGAAGGGCGGAGGAGGAGGAGGAGAATTTGGTTGAAAAGAAAGTAAAAGAAGAAAGAGTAATATTGGCAGGCGTAAGAGGAAGAGGATAAAAGGAAAGTGGACAGTGATAATGTCAGAGAATAAAAATGAAGAGAATGAGGCGACAGCTGAGGAGGAAGAGGACCGTCTCAGTACTCCAACTTCCTCCGTGTCTCTCTCTCACCATAATCAATATGTAAATACTAAGAAGCCTGGTGGTACAGGGTGGAACAGGACGGTCTGTCACTGTGGTGTACCAGCCTGGTGGGACAGAGTGGAACAGGACAGTCTGTCACTGTGGTGTACCAGCCTGGTGGTACAGGGTGGAACAGGACAGCATTGGAACAACAGGTTGGATCAGTTAAAGGGCGATATGAGTAGTTCATTGATACACATTTATCTCGCTAATACCTTACCAATCTCCCCTTATCTCATTAAAGACATTGTACCTCACCTCTTTCCTGCCTATATATCCACACCCACTGAACTGTAAGTCTATCCTTCTGAAGATGTATTATTAAATACGAAAGTAGTTTAAGGAAATTTCTTAATCCTTCCTTCGTGGTCTGACACTGTGTGTCAGACCACGAAGGACCCCAGACCAACTCCACTCCCCAGAAGGAATCGAACTCAGACAGCCAGGAGCACCACTAAGCAACTGGCGTACCTGGTACCTTAACTACTCGACCCACCAACTATGCCCATGTTTACCAAGTGCCGTCGGGACGTTGGGAATGTAGCCTCGGCTACCAGTGTCTTTTGTACAGTCACAATTGGTAGAGTGGTTAAGGTACCGGGTGCGCCAGTTGCATAGTGGCGCTCCTGGCTGTCTGAGTTCGAATCCTTCTGGGGTGTGAACTTTTTAGTTGCATATTGATTTGGGGACCATTCAAGCTTGTTCGGATATATAATATATAAATTTAGTAGTAAGGAATGCAATTTAGTAGTAAGTAGTTTAGTAGTAGGGAATGAGCTGTTAAGAATTAGATAGATAGTTTATAAGCACTTTTCCAGAGCTAAAATAGAGAAGGGCCGAGACATTGATGTGTGAATTATGGCAGATGTTAGACACAGTAGGCTACACTTCGAATAACCTTTCCCATCGGAAATGGTGATGAGATTATAATTTGTATATATTTATATATGGTTGGATGTACAGTTAGGACTTTCAGTTTTCTCCGGATTTGCCCAGTTTTTTCCTGCTATTCTTGCCCCTCCCGCTCGTTTCCTCGGCCCCAACTCTCATTCCGTCCCAATCCGATACATTCTTACCTGCAAATTCTCGGGCAACTCGAAGGTAATTGGCGAGAGCGGTGTTGGAAAGTTTCTCCGAGTGGTCGCTACCCGAATGCAAATTTGCTCGATTTTATCTTCGCAGCCCCTTGTTCTCCTCCTCTTTGTCTTGCCTTTTCCCCTTAGAATACTTCCCCCATTTCTCTCTGCTTCTCCTTAACCTGTTCCTCTTCCTTCTCTTTGTTCTTAGGGAAACAATGGCAGAAGCAGATTTTATTTGTCACTTTTTCTATTGCATTCATTTATTTATAGGTTGCTATGTTCCACGGGGAAAAAATGGCTTATATTATCTGTATCTATAAAAGAATGTGTCTGTCTGTTCGAGATTATGGGCCAAACGCTTGCGGCTAGACTCGCTAAACTTGGGGTGGTCAAAGGTGGGCGGGGGTCGAGACCCATGACCACCTTCCTCTTGGCATGGAACGACAAATAACATTTATTTTCCAATCTCGCTAAATAAGACTCCATCCTCACTAAGAGTACTGGCATGACTGGAAATTGGTAGAGAAGGTGATGAAGGATAGGTAGTCCAACTAGGAGGATAGATCATAATTAGTTTTATGAATTAATAAATAGGAGTTTGCAAGTTGGGCACATGTTTTAAGATCTCCTTCACCCTTGTCTGAAGTTGCAGGTTATCTTGAGATGATTTCGGGGCTTTTTAGTGTCCCCGCGGCCCGGTCCTCGACCAGGCCTCCACCCACAGGAAGCAGCCCGTGACAGCTGACTAACACCCAGGTACCTATTTTACTGCTAGGTAACAGGGGCATAGGGTGAAAGAAACTCTGCCCATTGTTTCTCGCCGGCGCCTGGGATCGAACCCAGGACCACAGGATCACAAGCCCAGCGTGCTGTCCGCTCGGCCGACCGGCTCCCTAAGCGTAAAGCGTGCAGACGTAATGGGTGAGGGAAACAGCGCGTCAACGCCTCTACCAGTATGAAGTTGCATGATTCGTGAAAAATACTTACTTTGGACAGCTTCTAACAGTTTATAAAAACATGTACTGGTATGTTGAACATGTACAACGTGTGTGTGAATGGTGTCTTTGACGTAATCTCTCATTCAGTGTCTAAAACTTTCTGGTGAGGCAAGATTTTTTTTTCTTAGATATATACAAGAGTTGTTTCATTCTTGTAGAGCCACTAGTACGCGTAGCGTTTCGGGCAGGTCCCTGGAATACGATCCCCGCCGCGAAGAATCGTTTTTTCATCCAAGTAAACATTTTACTGTTGCGTTAAACAGAGGCTACAGTTAAGGATTTGCGCCCAGTAAATCCTCCCCGGCCAGGATACGAACCCATGACATAGCGCTCGCGGAACGCCAGGCGAGTGTCTTACCGCTACACCACGGATATGTGTCGAGGACGATTGTCTTGACACCGTCGTAGTTCGTCTCTGTGGTAAGAGTAGTGAGAGTTAAGGCAGCTCTCGCAGTAAGATGTGCTGGGAGCAGTATAGACTACTGCTCTCTACGCCACTTGATTACCAAGGGCTTCAAACTACGTGAAGAAAGCGTCGACCTTCGGGCTCTACAAAAGGCGCCATCATCTTCATACTTCTTGTTGTTGTTTAAGAGTCGGCTACTGGGGACAAGAAGTTGCAAGTAGCACGGGCTATGGTGAGCCCGTAGTGGACTTTATTATTATAGTGAGTTGAGTGGGAACGTACAGGTAGACTGGCTTCCAGTCTATCTGTACTAGATGGTAGGCTGGAAGTCTGTTGTCTCTGCTCCTGCTGTCCCAGCTCACGTGTCTGTTTGCTCTTTCACCCTCAACTTTCAGCTCTAAGTCGGCTTGCTCTACTTCTCGTCGTTCTAGATCGGTTCTCTTCTCTTCCAATTCATATTCTTGTTGTTGCCGTGTAATGGTCGCGTCATTTAAAAGATTAAACATTACAAGTATAAATGTGCGCAAAAAAACATCACTTAACTACCAGTCAGTCTAATAATCAGATCACAAATATGCACACCTGTGGTAATGTAACTTGTAGCTTAAAACTTTAAAATTTACGTTAAAATTTAATGTTACGGTCAAAGGAGTTGAGTTGGTGTACAAGCAAAGTGTACTACACAAACACAGACTTTAAGCATAAAACTCCCAGTCAAAGACCACATTTAATTTCTCGTGAAGTGGAGGTACTGGAGCATGCCAGCACATGGTATGCTCAGGCTCCATAAAATAAAATAAACATCATGACCTCTGTAATGTGACATACAAGGAACAGGAGTAAAGTCAGAAAGTAAATTTAATGAAACAAAATAAGTTACTTTAACACCTGCAATACAACTTGCTAGATGCACGTGTAATAACATTGAACACATTGGCTGTGTGTGTATATATATATATGTCGTACCTAGTAGCCAGAATGCACTTCTCGGCCTACTATGCATGACCCGATTTGCCTAATAAGCTAAGTTTTCCTGAATTAATATATTTTCTCCAATTTTTTTCTTATGAAATGATAGCTACCCATTTCATTATGTATGAGGTCAATTTTTTTTATTGGAGTTGAAATTAACGTAGATATATGACCGAACCTAACCAACCCTACCTAACCTAACCTAACCTATCTCTATAGGTTAGGTTAGTTTAGGTAGCCGAAAAAGTTAGGTTAGGTAGGTTAGGTAGTCGAAAAACAAATAATTCATGAAAACTTAGCTTATTAGGCAAATTGGGCCTTGCATAGTAGGCTGAGAAGTGCGTTCTGGCTACTAGGTACGACATATATATAATATATTATACACACACATTGCTACATATTCAGAATTTGATTTCGTTTAAAAACTAACAATGTTGTGGAGGGAGCTGGAGAAGGTTTGAGGTACAAGGTTGGGTGGTGGGTATATTTGGTGTTGGTTGGTGGAGTGGTGGTCATAGTGATGAGTAGTTACACCCGGGACAGCATTACCTGGCGTCGCTTGCCACACTTCTCTACAATCTTTCCACACTAACAATATTCATTTGTTATAAATTTATGAATATTAAATCTTGACAAAATATTTGCTTTCCTGTCTCTCACTTTTGCATAATATTTTTCACAATATGCCTATCACTTTCTGTGTATGTTTATCTGTATATATCTAAGCTCCTCTGTTACCAAACAGTCCAGCAACATTTAACAGTACATGTGTTACATATTTGATTATGATGAAGCCACTGATTGACACTAGACTAAATTTTTATGAGATTGTGGTAAATGGTTGACTACTGTAAATATTCTGATTCACATCTCTACTTGTCAATTTATTTATTTATATTCCGAGTGCTTGTCTAGAGTCAATGTCCTAACATTGACTCATTCGTAGAGTCAATACGTTTATATCATAACAACGGTATACTCTTGTTGGCATTTTGAGCGTCAAGTACGATTGGCAGTGTTATCTCAGAGGCTTATTCTTGTTCCAACAGTGATGGCAGTAGGCGGCCGCGGCCAGGGACTCATTCCTCCACCTCCTGTCGTCACAGACCAGCCCTACTTCGACTCCAGCATGTCGACCAACCTGTCGGCCCACGTTGGTAGACAAGCGGAGCTCCACTGTAGAGTTCACTCCATCGGCAATAGGACGGTGAGTACTGTGTTGCGATACCTTTTTCTTTTAACTGTAGATGTGGTATACACGGACTTATCAAAAGCATTTGATGAATGCGATCATTGTGTGGGCTATCACTCCATGAAGTCAATAGGAATAACAGGTAAAATAGGAGACCAAGTGTAGTTTAACCCTCTGTATCTCAGGGTACAGTCCTTGCACCACTACATTTACTTGTTCTCATATCAGATATAGACAAAAATACAAGTCACGGCTTCGTATCACCTCATTGCAGATGGTAGTAGCATAAAAATTAACATGAACATTACTTCTGTAGAAGACATTGTAGTTTTTCAAACAGTTATTAATGAAGTTTTCGACTGGGTAGCAAAAAACATGACATTTAACAATTTATATTTATATATATATATATATATATATATATATATATATATATATATATATATATATATATATATATATATATATATATATATATATATATATATATATATATATATATATATATGCATACAAGAAAGGAATGCATCTAAGAAAACTTTTGTTAACAACATCACGTACATGTGACGCTGACTTTGGAAAGATTAATAGGTATATCTACATGTGAGAATGTTAAATGGTAAATAGGAGACTGGAAGTTGGCGGAGAAAATATTTGTTAAAGTCTAATTGATTTAAGAGACGACAGTTGTTTTTCACACATTGAGTTTGTGTGGAAAGATTGCAGCATCGTATGACAGCTAATATATGTACAGAAGCAGCCAGTAAATCGGTTAAGAAGCTGGAATGTTGAAAGCAGCAAGCGTTGATGACTTACAGACATATTATTAAATTTTGTTAGAAAAAATAGGACTCCATAGTAGAGTACTTGTAGCTGTGTGTGTCGCCTCAGGTGTCGTGGATCCGAGGGCGAGATCTGCGGATCCTGACGGTCGGGAGGTACACCTACACGACGGACCTTCGCTACGAGGCGCTCCACCAGCACGGAACTAACCAGTGGACTCTCAGAATCAAGTCTACTCAGCCTAGGGACCAGGGGACCTACGAGTGTCAGATTAGCACCAAGCCAATCAAGGCCTTTACAATATATCTCAGGGTGCTAGGTAAGTTTAAGCGACATATACTCTATAAGGAGATTCTAATGAAAGTTTTTGATATATGTCACAGGATATATGTAGTGTGAGAGGTGAGAAACACTCCTCCTCCTCAGTGTTAGCTGCTCATCTCCACTCCTCTCCATTGTAAGAACCAAGAGGAGAAATCCTGGGCTCTCCAGACCTGTATGTTCAGAAGAGCAGCATGATCAATCTGACCTGCGTCCTGCATGACCTTCCTGAACCCCCGGCCTACGTCCTCTGGTATCACGGCAACAAGGTGAGAACGTGATTAATTTTGCTTTCCACCCTGAACCCTCCAATGAGAGGTGGCTCATTGTTTTGCTGTAATGAGTTCTCTCTCATCGATATTTTATATTTTTTTCTTGGTAACTGGTTCAAATTTACGTCTTTGTATTATATTCTACATATTAAAACTAAATAAATATTTTTAAAAGTTTGTGTTTTGATTTTCCTTAAGAAATCAAAGGGTTATCACTTTTTGTTCACCCTTAAGTTCTTCCTCACTTCAGTGTTATTAGGCTTGACGTGTCATTACAGGACGGGCTTCGTAGAAGTATGTTGTTGTTAAAGATTTAGCTACTCAGGACGAAGTGTCCATGTAGCACGGGCTATGGTGAGCCCGTAATCGTAGAAGTAAAGGGCAAGTCATCATATATACCAGGTAGAATGAGGCGACGTCTTCCCCAGTGGTCGGGGCTGGACAGATTGAGTGGAGAACCTCTAGGTCTTCATTATCATTGTTGGACATTAGCCATAAATGTGGTGTGAGGTGGAGTACAGTCTTGGTCTAGTTAGGCCTACCCAAGCGTGAGCGAACTCTTGATAACTGTGCGAGTGTTTGGCGTGAAGTGCTCTGGCTGTGTAATCTTCTAGTGTCATTGTACCGGTTGATTATTTTGGTGTACTCTGTCAGATCTCTGGTCATGATGACATTATTAGAGAATTAGTCATAAAGAGATTGTGAATGATTCTTAACAAGCAATTTAAATCGTGTCGAAATCCGATTCTTATTACATGAATTGTATGGTCAAATATAATTTAATATAGGTTAGTCCGTAAATCTGGTGAAGATGTAAATCTTAGAGGCTGTTAAAATTTCTTGAATTTTCATATTTTATTTAGCATAAGTTTCAAAATTTGAATTGCATGTATCTTATTGATTTTCCGTCTTAGCCAATATGCTTCCGACACCACTAATTATCAGCAATACGCTTTTAGGTTTATTAAAACAAAGCAACATAATTACAATCAGCCGTATATCTTGCTTAAAAGGAAATGAATTAGAAAACAAGAAAATAATAATTTAATAATCTGCAAAAAGCCTATTGGCCCACACGAGGGAGCTCCTCTTTTTATCCATCCAAACTCATTCGAATATACCATATATGCTTAACCTACTCTTGAAACAATCAAGTGATCCTAAATTACCCGGTAATATGTTTCATAGATCAACAAACCTATTTCCAAACTAGTATTTACCCTAGGTGTTTCCTGTATCGAAACTTTTCCAAGTTATATCCCATGTATCTTGTATCATTAGATACACAACAATAATTTTTGTTGAAGTGTTTAAGACTTTATTAATATCTCCTTCTTTATAGCCTTTTGTCCATATGTATTCATCAATTGTATAACCTCTTACTCTTCGCCTTTCTAGAGAATTTAAGCTTTTTAAATCTTCACATGAAAGGTTCGTAATTCCTGAGATAACTTTATCCTTATCTGTACTCATTCAAGTTCACTTATTCCCAGTCTATAGTAGCGACTAAAATTTAGCTGCATATTCTTAAAAAAACTAACTAACAAGATAAAGCCTAAGAATATCATCAGTTTTGTTGCTAACACTTTTAAAATAAATCCCAGTATCCTATTTGCTTTATTCTGGACATTTATGCATTGATTTTTAGGCTTTAGATCTGATATTTACTCCCAAACCTTTTTTTCTATTCAACCTGTACAGTGTCGACGGTATCACGATGATAGCTGGGAACGTTGCAGTCTTTATCTAGTCTGTAAACCCTATTTTAATAATCTATATTTGTCAAGATATAGAAGAATGACTTTTGCTATTATCGATTCAAGATACTTTCGCACAATAGATGTTAAACTAATTGGTCAATAGTTCGACGCAAGTGATCCATTGAATTCGTTAAAATTGATGCAACATTTGCAACTCTTTGATTTCTGTATTTTGCTGATTTGAATTGATTTATTAAATACTAGTAGGAATACCCGGTGGTGCCCGGGGTAGTGTCTTCACTCACCCCTTGTTACACCCTCTTCTTTCCTTCTCTACACACATCCTCTCCTTCCCTCTTCTCCTTTTCCCTGTGCCTCTTCCCTCCCATCTGCCCCACTTCCCCCTTCTCATAACACCCCCCCCCCTTTCCCTTCTCTCCGGGTCTCTTCCCCCTCATTTTACCCTTTCCTGTTCTTCCCTTTGCCTCTCATATCCCTCATGGCCCGTCCCCTCGTTCTCCTCTTCCCCTCTCTCCCACTTCTCTCAGAAAGACCTCATGAAAGTCCCTAGAGGGGATCTATATAAATGCTAGTATTTCTTAAAGCATTTAAGGTATTCTGACCCCAACCAGCTTATGTCAGTCCTGTACCCCAGACCATTCCCTCTGCAAAGTTGTGTGAGTCTAGCCCCACCAGTTTGGCCTCACAGTTTGTACAAAGACAAACAAACATTCTCTCTCTTACAGTTATATAGAAATCAAGGGTTCTATTAGCTCGAAAAGATTTCATTTGGTTGTCTCTGCTGTGTCAACTTTTTTGTCCGTTGAAGTGGAGTGTGGTGGCCATGGTTCACCATGATGGTGGAGTGTGGTGGCCATGGTTCACCATGATGGTGGAGTGTGGTGGCCATGGTTCACCATGATGGAGTGTGGTGGCCATGGTTCACCATGATGGTGGAGTGTGGTGGCCATGGTTCACCATGATGGTGGAGTGTGGTGGCCATGGTTCACCATGATGGTGGAGTGTGGTGGCCATGGTTCACCATGATGGTGGAGTGTGGTGGCCATGGTTCACCATGATGGTGGAGTGTGGTGGCCATGGTTCACCATGGTGGTGGCCATGGTTCTCGCCCTCTAGTAATAACTTGACTATGCTCTCCTGTGTTAACTTAACCATGCCCGATAGTCGTTACTTTACGCTTTCTATTGGTCACTTGTGATGCCGTGTATGTTAAGTTGGTTTACGCCTCGTTACAGAGCATCAGTTACAGCAGCGGCCGCGGGGGAGTGTCGATGGTGGTGGAGAAGGGTCCAACTACCCTCAGTTACCTCTTGATTACTTGTGCTGGCCTCCACGACACCGGCCTCTACACCTGTGCTCCCTCTAACCTCAACACCACCAGCATCATGCTTCACGTCTTAGATGGTAACTACCTTCCCACTCTCAACATTTGACGTACAAGTTTAGCGCCGTCTCTGGCTCTCTCTTCTTCAATGTAATACTCTTTAGTTTGATTTTTTATGTTAACACATTGTTTGGTTTTCTTGTGGGTGGTAACAACGTAGACTTAATTATTCAAAACAGTAGTAAGCTGCGTATATTTTACACTTTTGGATGGATATCTTGAGGTTATCTTGAGATGATTTCGGGGCTTTAGTGTCCCCGCGGCCTCCTGTTAGTCACCCTTCTTGTATATCAGGACTACATTAGCAGTCTTCCAAATTATTGGCAGTTTTCCTGTTACCAGTGATTTGTTATTCACCATTGAGAGTGGTAGGCACAGTACTTCTGTTCCTTCTTTTAGTAGCCATGGGTGAGATTCCGTCCGGGCTTATAGCCTTTGTCACATCCAACGAAAGGAAATGCTTGTGTGTGTGTGTGTGTGTGTGTGTGTGTGCGCGTGTGTGTGCGCGTGTGTGTGTATTCACCTAGTTGTGCTTGCGGGGATGAGCTTTGCTCTTTCGGCCCGCCTCTCAACTGTCAATCAATCAACTGTTACTAACTACAAGCAACACCATTTTCAACTTAATTTTGCGTTTAATGTAATTGTGCATTTGTAATGTTGTACAATATTTTACCAATACAATAATTTTACAATACTTTATTTTATTTTTTTTACTTTTATTTTTATTTTTTTTATTTTTTAATATTTTACAATAAAATTTACCTTGACTTGCAGCTACTAATGATGTTCCCGCAGGTGAGGAGCCGGCAGCCATGCACACAAACAGCTCCACCCCTCACTCCCCAACCCGTCCTCTTCACTCCCAGCACCTGCCACAACACTCAGGTGAATATCTTCCTCTCTAGTTCCTCCTTTTGTGCCGAGGTGTGTACAGGATTACTCTTGTCTCCTGTTAGCAGGCTTACAGCTTTCCTTTCCCCTGGAACACCACCCAATAATTGGTTTACAACCCGGTCCCCAATTACTGGTGGCTGAACAGTTAAGGATTGGTGCCCAGTCAACCCTACCTATCAAAGTTCGAATCATGGTGAAATCGCTTTAGAGACGCTGAAAGTGTGTGAGGCATGGGGAGGTGTGTGAGGCATGGGGAGGTGTGTGAGGCATGGGGAGGTGTGTGAGGCATGGGGGGGGGGGGTGTGAGGCATGGGGAGGTGTGTGAGGCATGGGGAGGTGTGTGAGGCATGGGGAGGTGTGTGAGGCATGGGGAGGTGTGTGAGGCATGGGGGGGGGGTGTGAGGCATGGGGAGGTGTGTGAGGCATGGGGAGGTGTGTGAGGCATGGGGGGGGGTGTGAGGCATGGGGGGGGGTGTGAGGCATGGGGGGAGGTGTGTGAGGCATGGGGAGGTGTGTGAGGCATGGGGAGGTGTGTGAGGCATGGGGAGGTGTGTGAGGCATGGGGAGGTGTGTGAGGCATGGGGAGGTGTGTGAGGCATGGGGAGGTGTGTGAGGCATGGGGAGGTGTGTGAGGCATGGGGGGGGTGTGTGAGGCATGGGGGGGGTGTGTGAGGCATGGGGGGGTGTGTGAGGCATGGGGAGGTGTGTGAGGCATGGGGGGGGAGGTGTGAGGCATGGGGGGGAGGTGTGAGGCATGGGGAGGTGTGTGAGGCATGGGGGGGGAGGTGTGAGGCATGGGGGGAGGTGTGTGAGGCATGGGGAGGTGTGTGAGGCATGGGGGGGGGGTGAGGCATGGGGAGGTGTGTGAGGCATGGGGGGGGGTGTGAGGCATGGGGGGGGAGGTGTGAGGCATGGGGAGGTGTGTGTGGCATGGGGAGGTGTGTGAGGCATGGGGAGGTGTGTGAGGCATGGGGGGGGGGTGTGAGGCATGGGGAGGTGTGTGAGGCATGGGGAGGTGTGTGAGGCATGGGGGGGGGTGTGAGACATGGGGAGGTGTGTGAGGCATGGGGGGGGGTGTGAGGCATGGGGAGGTGTGTGAGGCATGGGGAGGTGTGAGGCATGGGGAGGTGTGTGAGGCATGGGGGGGGTGTGAGGCATGGGGAGGTGTGTGTGGCATGGGGAGGTGTGAGGCATGGGGAGGTGTGTGAGGCATGGGGGGGGTGTGAGGCATGGGGAGGTGTGTGAGGCATGGGGGGGGTGTGAGGCATGGGGAGGTGTGTGAGGCATGGGGGGGGGTGTGAGGCATGGGGGGGGGGTGTGGCATGGGGAGGTGTGTGAGGCATGGGGGGGGGGGGTGTGAGGCATGGGGAGGGGGTGTGAGGCATGGGGGAAATTTCTTAATGTGCATCTATTTATCCGTGCATCCTTTTGTTAATTTCGTCATGTGTGTCTGCTAATGTTGTTGTAGTGTCGATTATTTCGGTATGTCATGGTGGCCAGTATGTCTTGGTGGCCAGTATGTCATGGTGGCCAGTATGTCATGGTGGCCAGTATGTCATGGTGGCCAGTATGTCTTGGTGGCCAGTATGTCATGGTGGCCAGTATGTCATGGTGGCCAGTATGTCATGGTGGCCAGTATGTCATGGTGGCCAGTATGTCATGGTGGCCAGTATGTCATGGTGGCCAGTATGTCATGGTGGCCAGTATGTCAAAGGTGGCCAGTATGTCATGGTGGCCAGTATGTCATGGTGGCCAGTATGTCATGGTGGCCAGTATGTCATGGTGGCCAGTATGTCATGGTGGCCAGTATGTCATGGTGGCCAGTATGTCATGGTGGCCAGTATGTCATGGTGGCCAGTATGTCTTGGTGGCCAGTATGTCATGGTGGCCAGTATGTCTTGGTGGCCAGTATGTCTTGGTGGCCAGTATGTCATGGTGGCCAGTATGTCATGGTGGCCAGTATGTCATGGTGGCCAGTATGTCATGGTGGCCAGTATGTCATGGTGGCCAGTATGTCATGGTGGCCAGTATGTCTTGGTGGCCAGTATGTCTTGGTGGCCAGTATGTCTTGGTGGCCAGTATGTCTTGGTGGCCAGTATGTCTTGGTGGCCAGTATGTCATGGTGGCCAGTATGTCATGGTGGCCAGTATGTCATGGTGGCCAGTATGTCATGGTGGCCAGTATGTCATGGTGGCCAGTATGTCTTGGTGGCCAGTATGTCTTGGTGGCCAGTATGTCATGGTGGCCAGTATGTCATGGTGGCCAGTATGTCTTGGTGGCCAGTATGTCTTGGTGGCCAGTATGTCTTGGTGGCCAGTATGTCTTGGTGGCCAGTATGTCTTGGTGGCCAGTATGTCTTGGTGGCCAGTATGTCTTGGTGGCCAGTATGTCTTGGTGGCCAGTATGTCTTGGTGGCCAGTATGTCATGGTGGCCAGTATGACATGGTGGCCAGTATGTCATGGTGGCCAGTATGTCTTGGTGGCCAGTATGTCTTGGTGGCCAGTATGTCTTGGTGGCCAGTATGTCTTGGTGGCCAGTATGTCTTGGTGGCCAGTATGTCATGGTGGCCAGTATGTCATGGTGGCCAGTATGTCTTGGTGGCCAGTATGTCATGGTGGCCAGTATGTCATGGTGGCCAGTATGTCTTGGTGGGTGTTGTTGGTCAGGTTATCGTTGTTGAATGGTCCGATTTTGTACATAAATTACGTGATATGTGATAGATACTTTTTGTTTATGCATTATCAGGCTCCTTGAAAGATATGTTATTGTCCTATTTAGATGGTAGAGATTAGCATGGCCCCCAAGTGGACATGTTAAGGATGCTGCTTCTCGGTACACAGTACTCCGATTTACCCATGAAAATAGTGAAAATAACTGTCTGCCATTTCTGGATGTACTAATAACAAAAACAGGAGCATCTCTAAGCACTAGAGTATATACTAAGCCTACAAACATAGGACTATGCATAAACGGCAGAAGTGCTCTCAAGGGATACAAAGCCAGTGTTCTCAACGCTTATATTCGTCGAGCCCTTACCCACTGATCTGAATGGAGCAACGAGAGTAGGGAGTTTGAAAGAATAACTCAGGTGTTATTCTTTCAAACTCCCTACTCTCGTTGCTCCATTCAGATCAGTGGGTAAGGGCTCGACGAATATAAGCGTTGAGAACACTGGCTTTGTTCACCAACTCAGGTGTTGGTGAACAATGAATATAGCAACACAGAAATAAACACTTATTATAAGACAACACTTGGACCAATGGTGAGCTACTTATGACAAGTGGCCTTGCGGGTCCATGTACCCTGAATGTAACCAATGTTGTAACCCTTTTTGAGTAATGAAATTTTTAAATGAAGTTAGATATATATATACACACAGATACTTAAAGAATAGGGGAGGTTGGAGAAGAAAATGTGTGTTCAGTGAGGATCAACAAGGTCTTCTCTGAGTACTCTTTATTTTCTTCTCCGAGGCTATGGGTCCCTACACTTCCACCAGAGATTATAAAGCTTTTAGGTTCTATATATATATATATATATATATATATATATATATATATATATATATATATATATATATATATATATATATATATATATATATATATATATATATATATATATATATATAATATCTCTCATTATACAATTATTTATATTTAATTGTGTACCCCTTTTAGTGTGACAACTTACCATTACCTTCTCCGACAGAAGATGATGCGGTGCGTGTCCCGGCCACCAGCACCACCAGACCAGGGATGAGACCAGCGGAAACATTACTTTTGGCAGCAATTACGATGATCATACACATCCCGGTGTGGCTGGAGGTCACATAATCATACCACTATTACATCTAACATATATTTTGCAGGTGAATCTTTACCTTTCTTTTCTATACACTATTTTTGGCATTTGATTTATTTTTCTGTCCAGTTGTTTAAATTGTTAGATAACTGACAATTTATTTTTTCACTTTTGTTTACATTCCAAATGTTATCACTTCTGTTTGTTTTAAAATTGATAATTTACATTTATGCGTTTGGCTCTTTTAAAGTAATAATTTTTGATGCCTGATTTGTACTTTTTTTTATAGTCAATCCTTTCAGTCATTATGGTTTTTATGTATTTTTAACCTGGCTGTTTGGGATTTTTATATTTTTCACAGAGCAATTATTTTTATCCCGAAATTTTGTTTATCTGCTGTTTAATTATAATTAATTGACGCTTAACATGTTTACACCATATATTTACAAAAACATTCTGTTTATGTTTTTAACATTTAAATTTCTAACATTGTTTATATTTTTCTTATTCTTGTATAGTCCCTCTGTGTAAGTTTTGTTTCACCTGTTTGTGTGTGTGTGTGTGTGTGTGTGTGTGTGTGTGTGTGTGTGTGTGTGTGATGGAGTGTGTATAAAGCTGTGTCTCTGTAAACATTATAGGGTATGTAATATTCTATGCTGTTTGCATAGCATATCAAAACTGTAAATAGTTTATTTCCTGTTTGTTTTTTTAACCTTTTGGCTATTGATATTTTAAAAGGAATGTTTCAGCTGATTAAAATGTTTTTTTTGCTGATTCTGTTATTAGTTGGAGTTGTATCTGCAACTAAGAATGCTAAGCAACGAAGATAGGTTAAGGGAACTAAATCTCACTGTGCAAAAGTGATACAATCACTGAATGTATTATACTGAGGGAGAATAGATAAGATGTGCAAGGACAGACTGTCAATTTGCAAGTAGAACAAGAGTACATAGTTGGAAGCTAGAAACGCCAATAATTTGAAGAAATAGAAGGCAATACTCATAATGCTTACCAGTGGTCAACAATTGGGATACACATCTGAGAAACGAAGTCTTTGAACTCTAGGTTCAAGCAAACTTCTATACTCACACTCCACTCATTCATCCTTGCAAATTACCGAAAGTGGCTGAACGTTACGATAACGAGCCTCGACTACCGCTTGTAGTGCAGGGCAAATTACAGGACTGGATGGCAGTAGTAGGGATGACGACACAGCGTCGCTTTCTTTGCCCCCAGAAAATAGACACCTCAGCGTCCCCCCCCTTTTTTTTTGGTTTCGGAAAATAGTTACAGCTTGACTTTTTGACCCTAGAGGTCCCTGGGACCTCCAGGGCCTCCAGAGACCTCCAGGGGGCATCAAGGAGCCTCTAGGGTGCCTCCAGGGACCTCCAGGAGGCTTTTAGGGACCTCCAGAAGGCTTTTAGGGACCTCCAGGAGGCTTTTAGAGGCCTCCAGGAGGCTTTTAGAGGCCTCCAGGGACCTCCAGGAACCTCAAGGGGCCTCTAGGGGGTCTCCAAGGGCCTCTAGGGCGCCTCCAAGGACCTCTAGGGCGCCTCCAAGGACCTCCAGGGGCCTCCATCGAATGCCTCCATCGCCCAGGTAAGGTGTCTAGCGCCTCCAACACCCAGGTAAGGGGTCCTGAGTGCCTCCAACACCCAGGTAAGGGGTCCTGAGTGCCTCCAACGCCCAGGTAAGGGGTCCTGAGTGCCTCCAACGCCCAGGTAAGGGGTCCTGAGTGCCTCCAACGCCCAGGTAAGGGGTCCTGAGTGCCTCCATTCCCTACTCCACCATCCCCTCTTTTTTTCAGGGATATTCCTGCGCGGGCCCTAAGCCTCTGGCTGGCCCACTAAGTGATACTTGTTTCTGTTTCGAACGTCAGCAGTTGTGAATCGTGTGTAAACTGCTTTTCATTCATAAACAGGGGGTTTGGCGGGTGCATGGTTTGATACCAATTCTGACCAACCCATGTTGGGCACTTACCCAACAGTAATTACTGGGGAAAATTGGGTGAAGTGTCTAGCCTCCAACCTCAGACAGACATTTTCATTGAGAGAGAGAGATGGGTGGGGGGGGGGGGGATTGAGAAATGTATTATACTTTAGGAACAATTTGTTAAGTTTTACGTGTTTTTATTTGTATAATTATCATTAAGAATGTATAAAAGGATTATACAGTTTGAGACAATAGGTGACTAATGCTAATAGTTAGCATACAGTTAGCATGGGAGCAACAGAATGCACTTGCAAGTCTTGGATGCATTATATGATGTAACAACAGTAGATAAAGAGTAGACAACAGTAGATAAATAAAGTAATTGCAGCACTCCAGTTACCTACTATGTACCAGCATAGTATAAAACCTTATCCCGTAGACACTACGGGAGTTGTGGATTAGTATTGAAAGGGAATTCGAAAGTAATAATACAGCTGATGCCATCTCTCGGCACAAAAGAACACTACCAACTGGCTGGTCAACAGTAGCCATAAGATACAGCTTATGCCATCTGTTGACATCAAAGTGCACTACCAACACGCCACCACACAGAATACAGCTGACGCCATCTAGTGCGTCGCCCATGTACAACCAGTAGCCAAATTCGTAAAGTCAATATTGACTTATTAACTACGTGCATAGGTGATATACTAAACATAATAGATACCCTTAAAAAGATTCATAGAAAACACCGACCTTACCTAACCTACTTAGTATGTTAAGATAAGCATCTTATTGCTTCGTAATTACAATTATTACTTAACCTATACCCATTATAGGTTAGGTAATAATTGTAATTACGAAGCAATAAGATGCTTATCTTAACATACTAAGTAGGTTAGGTAAGGTCGGTGTTTTCTATGAAGCTTTTCAAGGGAAACTATTATGTTAAGTATGTCACCTATGCACATATTTAATAAGTCAATATTGACTTATTAAATTTGCGAGAACGGGTTGTGGACTCAAGTAAGAATTCTCGTGCTGGCATATCATTGGTAGAAACTCTTTGGTGACATTCAATACAACAGCCAATCACAGGCCGGGATCAGCTAAAGGTTCCATCCACTTAATAAATCATCTTTGTTCAGCACACCAGCCCTCATTATGACATTCTGCTTCAACTTTAATCTACCAAAAATGTGAAGTGTTAATTATTTATATATTAATAAATTGATAATTAAATATTGCAGGATATAACAGGTGTTATATAAAAATAGTCTGGCTACCTAACTTTTGACGTCATCAGTGGGGGTTGTCTAGACACAAATAACGTTGATGATACAATGCTTCGCCCTCTTATTGGACTGAATTATTGAGTTAGATGGAAATTTCTGCCAAGTACAAAATAAAAATATTGAGCAAAACGACGTATTTCTTAATTTGCATTTTATTCATAGAAAGTGTTGGCATTCCTTGCAACAGTTTCCCTTGGGCAGGCGATGAGTTACAATAACATGGCTGAAATATGTTGACGAAACCACACACTAGAAAGGGAATGGAACGACGACGTTTCGGTCCGTCCTGGACCATTAAGTCGATTGTCGACTTGAGAATGGTCCTGGACGGACCGAAACGTCGTCGTCCCATCATTTTTTAATGTGGACTGGTCAACAATTACCCTTAGCGTTATTGCGCTAAGGTACATTCAACCAAGGGTTAATTAGCTAAATAAGTCGTCAGTATTATATATTTCCTACATTTAAACTTGATGGAAACGAATTTGACGTAAAATTGCAGGCGATGATAAGTCATATCTGGCAACTCCTCCTTTACTGCCTCCCCTCCCACGGTGGCGGCCGGCCAGGCCACTGTTTCCTCCTCCCATACACATTTAACGTCAAACTTAGGCGTAATTACGCTAAGGTACATTCAGCCAAAGGTACGTATACCATCCCTGTTCATGCACTTGCTACATTTGAAAGGGAACAAAGGAATTTGACGTTATATACCAGTGAAATGTGGCAAGCCTTCTTTCCCAGGGTTACAGCGGCCGCCAACACTCCCATCCTCTAACGTCAAATTAGGGCGTTATTACGCTAAGGAATATTCAACTAACAGTAAAATACGTATTCAACATGTATTTGAGGGAAATAACTATATTTGAAAGGGAAATGATGATTGATGAGTCATTTAAAGGTACGTGTGTGTGTGTGTGTTTATGTAGGTGTATATGTGTGGGGCTCCCTCATCTACAAGTGCGAAGACAATTACAACAGAAAACAAAATCAATGACAGACTCAAACACTTTCTATCTTATCCATAGCAAAGACACAGATTTAGAGTGCATTTTTGCAAAGTTTATGAAGCATCATCATAGATAACTCAAATCATATAAAAAATCACCATGCACACCTAACTCTACAAATATCTATTAAAAATCGATACATTTTGAAAACTCTCGATAACGCCATCCCATTTTACAAACAGCTATGTCAAAGTCCCTATATACAAGAATTTTTCAGCCTTTATGAATATCTATCTCGAAAAATAATAATAATTTAAGTGTCAACTCCTGGCTACTATGTTTAATTTCTTACTTGGTAACGTCTCCTCATGCGTCAGTCACCGTTATATTGTGTTATTATACTCGCCTAACGTAACAGAACAGAGAACATAGAACAGAAAAAAGAACTGAGAACAGCACAGAACAAGGAACCGAACAGAGAACAGAACACAAAACGGAGAACAAAACATACAATGGAGAACAGAACACAGAACGAACAAATGAACAAAGAACAGAACAGAACAGAGATCATAATACATAGAACAGAGAACACAAGAGACATTTTCTCCAAAATAACTTGAGAATAAAATCTCAAAATAAAAAAAATTTAAGATCTTTATTATTGAAAGCGACTGATGACATCGCGTTTATGTATAAAATGCTAATCAATTTTATGTTAAGTTTATTACTCAATATACGTTGCAGGGTGCATCCATTGCTGAAATCAAGTATATAAATAAACGTTCGTGATGTTTAGAGAGGTAAATAAAGAATTACAACGTTAACTAAGCAATAGCAAGCATTCAAATTGTCAAACGATCGTTCGGGTCTGTGTTGCCAAATACCACCATTGCAGCAAGCCTCTGCCACCTCATTTCGCGTGAAATTTGGGCGTTTTTACGCAAGAGACATTCAACCAAGGGTTAATTAGGTAGATAAATCGTCAGTGTTATATTTTCTACATTTAAAATTGATGGAAACGAATTTGACGTAAAATTGCAGGCGATGATAAGTCATATCTGGCAACTCCTTCTTTACTGCCTCCCCTCCCACGGTGGCGGCCGGCCAGGCCACTGTTTCCTCCTCCCATACACATTTAACGTCAAACTTAGGCGTAATTACGCTAAGGTACATTCAGCCAAAGGTACGTATACCATCCCTGTTCATGCACTTGCTACATTTGAAAGGGAACAAAGGAATTTGACGTTAAATACCAGTGAAATGTGGCAAGCCTTCTTTCCCAGGGTTACAGCGGCCGCCAACACTCCCATCCTCTAACGTCAAATTAGGGCGTTATTACGCTAAAGAATATTCAACTAACAGTAAATACGAAAATCAACATTTCTCGGGATTTCTAGGGGAATTTCTAGGGGAATTTCTAGGGGAATTCCTAGTAGGATTTATAGTTGGATTTCTAGTAGTTTTTTTAGTTTGATTCCCAGTAGGATTTCTAACGA